TTCCCTTGTTGGCTAACACTTCCAGTTGGCTGCCTTGGAGTGTCTACATAGAGAATGAGATCTGCAAATTAACATTTCTTTTAATGATTTAAGCCTATCATTTCTTTTTTTTTTTTTTAAGCAAAAGATAAACTGTTTAAACTAGTAGGTCTTCACTGAACTCTATAAATTACACATCTGTAGATCTCCTGCATATGAGGCTAAGCCTATCATTTCTTATTTTTATCTTATTGTATTGGCTGAAATGATGTTGAGTAATAGTGATGATAGCATGCAACTGTCTTATTCTTTAAAGGAAATGTTTCTAATGGTTTACAAGTAGTATTTGTTGGTTTCCTTTAACTTACTAACCAAGATGCCTTCTGTTCCTAGAATACTAAGAGTTTATCAAGATTTGGCTTTGAATTTCACTGCTTTTTAAAACAATGAATTAGAAAAAATAACACATGCAAATGTTTAAAACTATTATTTTTTATTGTGATGGCCTTGGATAAATTGAACACTTTCTAAGATGTGTAACTAGAAACATGTAAATTATGTATTTGTTAAAGTACTCGAATTTCATTAAGTATACATTCTTTTAGGGGCACCTGGGTGGCTCAGTCGGTTAAGTGTCTGCCTTCAGCTCAGGTCATGATCTCGAGGTCCTGGGATATAGTCCCACGTGGGACTCCCTGCTCAGCCGGGAGCCTGCTTCTTCCTCTCCCTCTCTCCCTCCTGCCACTCATGCTTGCTCTCGCTCTCTCAAATAAATAAAGTATACATTCTTTTATTGTTCTTTTTTAATATACTTTATTTTTTAAAAAAGATTTTATTTGTGAGAGAGCGAGAGCACACAAGCAGGGAGAGCGGCAGGTAGAGGGAGAAGCAAGCTCACCTCTGAGCAAGGAGCCGGATGCGGGGCTTGATCCCAGGACCCTGGATCAGACCCGAGCGGAAGGCAGATGCTTAACCAACTGAGCCACCCAGGCGCCCCTGTCTCTATTATTTTAAATTTATATGGAGTGCGCGCCTGGGTGGCTCAGTCGTTAAGCGTCTGCCTTCGGCTCAGGTCATGATCCCAGGGTCCTGGGATCGAGACCGCATCGGGCTCGCTCCTCGGGGGGAAGCCTGCTTCTCCCTCTCCCACTCCCCCTGCTTGTGTTCCTGCTCTCGCTGTGTCTCTCTGTCAAGTAAATAAAAATCTTTAAATTTATATGGAGTGAATTCATCTTCTGATTTTGTTTTGTTGGCTCACTTAAACTTAGATCTCGATGGGTTTTGGAATTACAGTCTACAGGATCATTTAGAAGGGGGCGGGGAGAGTTTCTGTGTATATGTGAGAACATGTGCACATCCAACTATTCCTGTCTAGCTGTTTCGCAGTTGTGTCTACCTGATTCCCTAGAACCCTCAAGTCCATAATCAAGTCCTATGTAGTTCAGTGCTCCTTCACCCCTAGCCCGCCCTGTGTTAGTGGGTATATCACAGATCCAAGTATTAAGCCACAGAACAGCTTGATCTGGATGGAGAAAATGCAAAAGCAAGATCAAATCCCTGCCCTGGCAGGGGTTCAGTCTATGAGGGAAGCAAGCAGGTTACAGCTGAATGCAAAGAGTGCTATCAGAGAAAGGTATTTAGAGGATGTGCTGACATTGTGCACATACCTCAAATGTTCCCGGTGTTGAGACTGAATGGTGGAACAAGGAGTTAGGAAGATAAGGGAGCAGTCATGAGAATATGATGCACTTGGGAAAGATAAGAGTCATTTGGTAAGAGTCAAGTTCATATGGTGAATAAGTAACAAGCTTAAGCTGAAAAGGCAGGTCTGGGTCAGCTCGGAGGTTTTTTCCTAATGTCATGTTAGAGTTTCCATTTATAATAAAATCGGAGACTTCTAAAAATATTTTTTGAGAATGACAGAGTTGCATTTTAGGAAGACCAATCTGTTACAAGGGTGATGAATGCACTGCAGGAAAAAAACATTAATAAAAACACTAAAATTTTTTAGAAGTTGGCTTAAGTTAGTGGTGATGGTAGAGATAAAGAAGGGCGTTTGGGAGGAATTTAGGAGACAGGTTGGGTGTAGGAAAACCCAGGATCGTTATCAGATTTACAGCTTTGGGGATTAGTTAGTATAACTTCAGAGGTGGGAAATACAAGAGAGTGTAAGGAAGAGGTGCAGAGGGAGGGTTGATATGGATGAGGAGTCTTATTCTGGGCATTTTGTGTTTGAGATGCCTGTGGAAGTCAGAAATACTCGGGAGGAAGCTGGACTATGGATATGGACTTGTAGATTTGAAAGTCATCAGCACCTAAGAGATAACACATGACATTACTACACAAGCTGTGGCTCAGGAGAGAGATGGGCAGACACATACAGCTAGCTGTTAGTTTTTTGGGGGGGGGTTGCTTCTTCCCCATTCTTGGTATTTTTTTTCCATTTAGGAAAGCACAGCACTCCTAATCTCTGTGCTTCCTCATTCACTTTGCTCAGGTCTAGTGCACATCACCAGGTTCTCCAATATTAATTAGTTAAGGCTAAATGAGGTCATAGGGTTGGGGCCCTAATCCAATAGGATTGGTGTCCTTCTAGTAAGAGGAAGAAACACCGGAGATCCCCCACCCCCACCCTGTACCCAGAGAAGAAGTCATATGAGGACCAGGGAGCCAGTTCTCATCAGATACCAACCCTGCTGGCACCTTGATCTTGGGACTTTTAGCTTTCAGAACTGTAAGAAGATAAGTTTCTGTGGTTTAAGCCCCCTAGTCTGTAGCATTTTGTTATAGCAGCCTGAGCTAATACACCCCTAATATATGAAACTTTTATCACAAGAAGCTTTATTACAAAATGGAGGACAGATAAGGCTTAAAGGAAAAGGCCTAACCTCAACTGCACAGGATGACTGACTAGAATGCTTTCAAACAGAGCTTTCCTGCCTCCAGTTTCTCCACTCACTAGATCAAATGTTCTGAAACTTTTCAAACAAGTTCACTTGAGAAGACCGTCACTCAGTACATCTGGGGAGAGTCCCCAGGGCCTGCATTTTCAACATGTATCCCAAGCAGGCACAGACTTGTCCTGAGGTACGCTGGTGAAGAGGCCAGCCAAGGTTGACATCCAGCCCACACGCACCCCGGCACAGGTTAGGGAAAGTGTCTTTTTCTTTGCACAAAGGCACACTGACTCACCGAGGGGGTTGCACCTACAGGAACGTACCAACCAGAGGTGGCACTTATCCTTTTTGTATAAACACTGATTTGTAGGGTGCCCTTGGATCCAGCTGATTCAGGTAATCCACGAGCACCATGTACTACAAAAATGGAAAATTTACATAGACCCCAAGGATTCCCTAAGGAAGTAAATCTATACGTTTTTGTAGGAATGATGTTAAAAGATTGACAGTCCAAGAGACAGATGAAGGTTTGCTAGAACAGGCTGGAAAATCACCTTATAATGATAGATTAAGCCACAGAACAAAAAATGCAGTGATGTCTTGGACTGGCAGTATTTTTTCCTTTGGTATTTACCTAAGAGACCCCAATATTAAGGCAAGTATGTTTCTTGGAGAATTGACATACACTATTGAAATGCAGAGAGATTAGATACAGGTCACTGCTTGTTACTCACAATGGTGGGCTTTTAGATGATTTAAATTAATCCAGAGGGAAATGACACTTACGTGCGCCACTGTTAACAAAGGAGATGGTAGATGACGTTTATTTTTGGCAATAGAGAGAAATCCTCCCGAGACGCAGATGCTCTCTCACCACGTGAGAGAAAATGAAAATTCACTATGAGAAAACTGAAAATCTCAATACAAATTTAAATAAGGAGGCCTGGTAATAGGGAGCAGAAAGAAAATGTTCCTTCCATGACCGGCAGGCCTTGCCCATGGGGACTACAGAGGGGAGATGCCTCTTTTGTTATGTCTGGATTATTTGGTTTTTTTGTTTTTTGTTTTTTTTAAAGATTTTATTTATTTATTTGAGAGAGAGAGAATGAGAGAGAGAGAGCACGAGAGGGAAGAGGGCAGAGGGAGAAGCAGACCCCCCGCTGAGCAGGGAGCCCAATGCGGGACTCGATCCCGGGACTCCAGGATCATGACCTGAGCCGAAGGCAGTCGCTTAACCGACTGAGCCACCCAGGCGCCCCATGTCTGGATTATTTGGAATCTTCGTGAAGGAGCCATCATGCCGCCCTGCCTGCTCTGCAGCAGGCCAGTGTATCTGAGGTCAGCGTTTTGTGAATTCCTTATCCAGCTTATGCCATGGATCCAAGAGCTGCTAGCTCCGCCTAAAAGCTGTCGCCGCTTCCTTTCTGCGCGGCTTGACCTAGACACTGAAGGGCTTTTCCCTGGCATGTACCGCAACATGGGTGTTGAGTGCCCCCATGTACGTAAAGCTCCTTCCACACTCACCACAAGAAAAAGGCCTCTCCCCTCTGTGATGGTGCAGATGGGTCTTCAAACTTCTCTTCTGGAGGAACCCCTTGCCACATTCAGAGCACCTGAAGGGCTTCTCTCCACTATGCGTATGCAAGTGGACCTTCAAACTTCCCCTTATGCAGTAGCTCTTGTCACACTCGGGACACTGGAAGGGCTTCTCACCACTATGGACTCGAATGTGTTCAGTGAGCCTGTACTGCTGAGTGAAACTTTTGCCACATTTAACACAGGAGAATGGCTTTTTGTCACTGTGCTGGAGCAGGTGGCTCTTCAAATTTCCTTTGAGACGGAAACTTTTATTGCACTCAGGACACTGGAAGGGTTTCTCTCCACTGTGGATTCTCTTATGTTCAGTGAGCTGAGACTGCTGAGTATAGGTCTTACCACACTCGCCACATGCAAAGGGCTTCTCGCCCCTGTGTATCCGCTGGTGGAATTTCATGGAGGCCTTCCAGAAAAAGCTCTTGTCACACTCAGGACACTGGAAAGGCTCCTCCCCACTGTGAAGTCTCATGTGCTCAGTGAGGTGCGAGTGTCGGCTGAAGCTCCGGCTGCACTCAGAACAGGAGAATGGCTTTTCTTTGGTGTGGACCTTGAGGTGCTCCGTGAGCCTCGACTGCCGAGGAAAGGTCTTTTTGCACTCGTCACAGGAGAATTCCTTTTGCCTGTTGTGGACTCTGCTATGGCGAGTGAGCTTAGAGGGCCGGGTGAACCTCTTGCCACACTCCCCACAGGAGAATGGCTTCTCCTCACTATGTAAACGCTGGTGGGCCTTCATGGCATTCTTCCAAGAGAAGCTCCTGTCACACTCTGGACACTGGAAGGGTTTCTTCCCACCGTGCTGAAACAGATGGGCTTTTAGGCTCCTCTTTAGGCGGAAACTTTTCTTACACTCGGGACACTGGAAAGGCTTCTCTCCCGTATGAACTCTGATATGTTCAGTGAGTTTCGTCTTGTGTGTGAATTTCCTACCACATTCGTCACAAGAAAACGGCTTCTCTCCACTGTGTATCCTCTGGTGGGCCTTCACGGCAGCCTTCCGGGAGAAGCTTCTGCCACATTCTGGACAATGGAAGGGCTTCTTCTCATTGTGTTGGCAAAGATGGGCCTTCAAACTCCTCTGCTGGCGGAAGCTTCTGTTGCACTCTGGACATTGGAAAGGCTTCTCCCCAGTGTGCACCCTGAGGTGCTCAGTGAGCTTGCATTGCTTGGTGAAACCCTTGCCACACTGCTCACAGGAAAATGGTTTCTCCCTTTTGTGCAAACACAGATGCTTCTTCAATGTGGCTTTACACTGGAAGGTCTTGTCACATTCAGGGCACGGAAAGGGCCGCTGCCCCGTGTGAACAACCTGGTGGTGAGTGATCAGGCTGCATTTGAGATAGTAGCTCTTCTCACACTTGCCACACTGGAAACGCTTCTTCTTACACAGGATCATCCGGTTCCACCTGAGTTCAGGGTTCCCTCTGGATTTGTTTTTGTGCTTTGAATATTTACAGGGCTGGCTCTTAGCGTGGTTTCTTTTGTGCTTTACCAAGTCCCTCTTTAGCTGAAAGACCTTCCCACAGACAAAGCAGGAATAAAATCTTGGTCCTGGTGGAATTTCCAAGTGACCTGGAGTATCTACCAGCTTATGCCATGGATTGCTCTTATCCTGATTAGATGCTCTAAGGTCGAGGTTTTTATGTACAATCCCTATTTCTTGGAGACTTGGATGCTGTAAGGCGGCTCTTTGATCTGATAAGATCTTTCTTTCCTCCCCTGGTAAGGTAGCACATGAACCCTGCTTTAGGAGACCATTTAAATGGCCTTCCTCCTCTTTTGCCCTGAGAGTTCCTTGGTCACCTGGAGAGAAAAAAAGAAGACCCACCCTTACCAGTAATGTGTCTGTGCTATGGTGGGGTCAAGACTTGTGTTCACATCTCTAACAGCACAGGAAAACGAATCTAATTGATTTTGATGACTCTGTGCATCTGCCTGCCACAGGTAAATTATATTTAACTTTGATATGTAAATCCTTCTGTTATGTGTTAAGAAATGGCTTAGTGTGGGGAAAAAAAATTGCAGGCAAATATATCTTGTGAACTTATGGATGACCCTCAGAGGGTAAGCAGAAGTTGAAAGAAAATAAAGATGAGTTAGTCTGAGAATATGACCATTCTATTTCCTTAAATCTGTTAAATAAGGCTTTGGGTCATATTCTTGCCCCTTCTACCACAGATTTCAGGAAAAGCTTTCTGGAAGAAATGCTAATAGGTATCTTTCTTAGGAATGTCAAATGGCAACTGACTAAATTCACAAAGAACACTATGGAGATAATTCCCTTTTCCAAGAACTCTGCATTATAAGAAAGGTATTAATATAAGCACAGTCAGTGCTGTTCCCAAAGTAAAAGCCACGAGGACAGGAAATGGGGAGCTGAGTTAGCACCTTATTCTCACCCACAAAAACTGGAGAGAACAATTTCAGATGCTCACTGGAGCCTCTATATCTCAGAACTGCTTTTTCTCCCACCTGTTGAACTGGGTCCTGGGGTTCTCCTTTTTTAAGTCTCACCTGTCAGGAAGGGTGGGCCTGTCCCCAGAGAAGGACTCTGATTATGCTCTGTGGTCATCTTAACAACAACACAGGTTATGTTTCCAACCGGGTGATGTCATTTAGTAAGTTAGCGCTCCACAGCTGATGTCTAGATCATACTTACCTGTCTCCTTGAATCCTATTTCTTATCACTTACTATTTATGCCAGGCAGCGAAGCAGTTGTGATTACTGGGTGAATGCCACCTGGCACGAAGGGAACACTACTTTCTAGGGATAGCCACTAAAGTTGTCCATTCGTTGTTATTCAGAAACCTTTCCAGGTCCTCCCTTTCTATAGGATGAAGTCAAACTTCCACCTTGGCATTCCTAGCCTCAGATAAACTGGCATTAATTTATGTTTCCCCTTCTCCATCTGCCATATCATCCCAAGAATAACATTAAGCTATACATTTTCTAAATACAATAGGCTTGTTCCCACCTCTGAGCCTCAGCTCATGTGTGACCCCTGCCGATCTCTGTCTAACCAAATCTGCCCATTCTTTGCTATTTAAATCCTAATTCCTTAGAAGTCCTCCTGGGAAACTGCTATCTCTACTCCACACATTCTCCTCTAAATCCCTATAGCACTACTACTACTGCCACTTACTATTTTATTAAATTGTATACAGTCCCATTTTATAGATGACTAGTCCAACAGTTCAATATAATCGACTAACTTAACCGCCATGTCAGGTCAGTAAGATAATAAACTCCTATAGGAGAATATACATATAGATATATAGATCTCTCCATCCCATCCCCAGCCTAAGTAATAACTGACAGTCCTATGAACATGGTAGGGACTCAATACTCATTAGATGAATGAAATAAGAGACGGTGGCAATGAAATAAAGTCCTTGGGAATTCTTTTATTCTTTTGATGGACCTAACCATACATCCCTGGGTTCAAATCCCCTCCTCTTCAGGAGAATCCTTTGACTTCCAGGGACTTAGAAGATCTCCATTTAATAAAACATTAGCATAGTCTAAAAAATGACCTATTCCTTTAAGTATTTAAAGTGTTATAAAGTGTTTCCAATGTTTTTCTTATGATAAAAGGAATTCAAAAAGGAATCCTTCAAAAGGAACTTAAAAAAAAGCCCAAGTTCTAAAAATCTGTACAATAAAAAATAATACGTTATACCACATTGGACGGTTTTCCATTTCTCTCTATTCAAATGGACACAATGGTGTGATGGAGAAGGCGGTTGTTCCTCAAGACTTGACAAGAGGATCCTTTACTTGCTCTTTTACAAATACTTCTTTCCAGGGTCATAATTTTTTTTTTTTTTAATAAAACATACACAACTTCCCTCTTTATAAAAAGTAATACATTCTTATGTTTGTTTCCCACTTGAATAAAAAAACCTAACATTCTCCAACAAAACAATGTTTCTTATTCGCTATGTCCAGCTGCCTATCCAGAAAGATTCAGGAAAATGAAATGAGTCCTGACCCTAAATCCATCATACTCACCAAAATATGCCAACTTTCCAGTCTTCTGCAAGTCCCACTGCTCATCAGTAGAAGGGCTAAGTGTCATGTTTTTCTCCAACGGTCCCTGGTCTCTGATTAACAGCATTCTCCCTTGTTCTATCCAGGAGATCAAATCTGGCTTGGAAAAAACGCCACCTGCAAAGAGAAACCACATAGACTCAGTCTGGGTTTACCTGAGTACTTCACTAAACGTGATTTTCACAGTTAACTTTGATTCCTGAAGATACATCATCAAAGTTAGGTCAAAAAAATTGAGACCCTTGAAATTACATGAATGACAATAAAATACAACCTAACCAAAACTGTTTAGCTTAAACGTCCTCTGCAATATTTCACAAAATTAAAGGAAACAGAGAAGTTAAGGGCGATGATTTTTTTTTTTTTTAAGATTTTATTTATTTGTTAACAGAGAGAGAGACAGCAAGAGAGGGAACACAAGCAGGGGGAGCGGGAGAGGGAGAAGCAGGCTTCCCGCCAAGCAGGGAGCCGGATGTGGGACTCGATCCCAGGACCCTGGGATCATGACCTGAGCTGAAGGCAGACGCTTAACGACTGAGCCACCCAGGCGCCGAAGGGCGATGATTTTTAACAACAGATCTGGGCAGAAAGCATTAACAAATGATCATTATGAGAACAATAAAAAGCAAAATCACAGGGGGTCAAGAAGGGAGCCCGATCACTAAACACCTCTGACTAGACATCCAAGGAAATTAACTACTGAGGTACAGTGAAGGAACCAGGAAGTTCTTCAATGACAACGATTATGAAGGGGGAGAGAGTAATGTGTCTAATGACATAAGCATGAAGGGAAGGAGGGTGGTTATAAGGCAATGGGGTGATTTTAGAAGATGCAACGGATACTATGTAGTAGCATTAAAAATGTAGATTCCTGGGCCTGAGGCTGGACCTGCTGAATCCTAATCTCTGGGGCTGATATCTGGATGTCCTGTAAAGAAAATCATTTGTAGCATGCCTGGGTGGCTCAGTCTGTTAAACGTCTGCCTTCAGCTCAGGTCATGATCCCAGGGTCCAGGATCGAGTCCCGCATCGGGCTCCCCACTCAGTGGGGAGTCTGCTTCTCCCTCTCCCTCTGCCCTTCCCCTCTGCTTGTGCTCTCTCTCTCTCAAAAAATAAATAAATAAAATCTTAAAAAAAAGAAAAGAATTTGTAAATAATGCCCTTTGGGTTTTAAAATGTGGGAAAATCAGACTGGATTTTCCAAGCCCACGGACACTAGTTATTGTAACTCCAAACTCAACACTGGATTAGCACATGGCTCTAGTTTCTTGTAACTTACTGGCCTCAGACTGCTTAGCCTGAACTCCAAAAGTTGAGGTGTCCCGGTGCTCTATCCTATCTACATTTCTCCCTAGATGATCCCATGTAGCCCTCAGGTTTAAAACACCAGATTTGTGAATCCAGTCCTGATCTTCACTTGAAATTCTGGTCTCGCATACCCAATTATATGTATTTCCATATAAATATCTAATAAGCATCTCAAATTTAAGGCTCTCTCCCCAAGCTTTGTCCTGTCAGTGAATAAAGCCATTGCCTTCAACATACTTGAGCCAAAAATCTAGTTGATTTTTCTTTCACCCTGAGGCTCCATATCCAATCCACCAGCAAACTCTCAAATGCTACCTCCAAAAGATATCCAGAGCCCATCTACTTCTCTTTGCATTACTAACTACCTGGTTCAGCTGCCATAAAGCCTCACCTGCCCTGCTGAGATTCTTTTTTTTTTTTTAAGATTTTATTTATTTGACAGAGAGAGACACAGCGAGAGAGGGAATACAAGCAGGGGGAGTGGGAGAGGGAGAAGCAGACTTCCCACTGAGCAGAAAGCCCAACGCGAGACTCCATCCCAGGACCCTGGGATCATGACCCGAGACGAAGGCAGATGCGCAACAACTGAGCCACCCAGGCGCCTCCCTGCTGAGATTCTTGGCTGGTGTCCTTCTTTTCATTGCTGTGCACTGCCATTCATTCTCCACATAGCAATTCAAGTAATTTTTTTTTTTTTAAAGATTTTATTTATTTGACAGAGAGAAACACAGCGAAAGAGGGAACACAAGCAGGGGGAGTGGGAGAGGGAGAAGCAGGCTTCCCGCCGAGCAGGGAGCCCAATGTGGGGCTCTATCCCAGGACACTGGGATCATGACCCGAGCTGAAGGCAGACAAGCTTAACGACTGAGCCACCCAGGCGCCCCCAAGTAATTAACTGTTAAAACAAATTTTGACATGTTACTCCTGTGTAAATCCTCTCATCATCTTATCTTCCTTTCGTCTAGAATAAAATCCTAGAGGCCCTTTTCTCATTTGTTATACCACTGTCCCCTTCTCCTAACCTTCTACACATGTGCTCCAGCAGCCTCCCCGTGGCTCCCACCACACACTGAGCACATACATTCCAACCCCTGAACTTCTGCACTAGTCCTTCCTCTGCTTAGAATTCTCTTCCCCCGATTTCACACAATAGACTCATCTTGTCCTTCGTATCTCAGATGGAAGAGGTTTATAAACCCCAAAGGAGAGATGCCACAGGTTATACTGAGATCAGCTATTAAAATGAAAACAGTAGAAATGGTTTTAATGATACAAGAATGAATTCAAGCAAGTTGGATAAACAGCAAGGTATAATCTCCACAAATTTCTCTTCAAATCTGCTCCCTGAGTATTTCTCTAGGGATACCTAAATGTCCTATCCCCACTGCTCTTTCTCCCTCTACCAGGGAACAATTTTCCCAGGTCTTATGAGGATAGAAAATTCATCCTATTTAGGCAACATAAGCAGGCATCAGAGTATCAGTTAAAAAATAAAAGAGTACACTTAAAAAAGAGAGAGAGACAAATTATTTAATAATTTTAACTGTAGGAGAAACAAGGGAGGGTTTGTGTGAAAGAGACTGCAGAATTGGTAAGACTGAGGGGTGCAGATACCACTAGATAAAAAGGGACAAGTTAAATATTCCCAGGCCATAATAGGAAGTTAAGGACATATTCTGAGTGTAAATTAAGCATAGAATTATATTCAGCCAGCCAATAGCTAATACAGAGCAGAAATCCTATTGGTATTAGGCAGGTTCCCCCAAAATGATTCCCTTGAAGCCCAGCTTACCCAGGGAATCAAGAGTCTCATAATTGGTCTTCATCACTTGCTGATACATTTCCTTCTGCCACTTCTCCAGGATCTCCCACTCTTGCTCCGAAAAATACAAGGCCACATCATCAAATGTCATCCTTACCTGGAATCACAAACCGTACATACATACATTTTCACTTTCAAGCTACTGTCTTCCAATGTCCATGTCTTTAAAAGAAGAAACTATACTAAAGTCTCCTTCTCTCTGGATGGTGCCATGAACAATGTAATAAAGGGGTCACAGAAGTCTATTGGACCCACATAGTGAATGAATGACTAGCAGACCTTTGAGCACATGTACCATCTAGAGAGGGATCCTTCACTTAGCAGCAAGCAGTTATTGCTATGCAAGACTTTTAAAAAAACTTTTTATTCTGGAATAATTACAGACTCATACGAAGTTGTAAAGATAGTACAGTCCAGAAAGGTTCCCTGTATCCTGTACCTGTTTCAGGAGGGGGTGAGAAGCAGAAGGGAAAATGCATTACTTTAGTAAGATTATTATATATGAAATTTCAGGAAGGGTAGAAGGAAAACTTGCATAGGTAAGCAGATTATACTTAACTGAATTTAACAGTTTCCTGGATTAAGCTCAGGATATGCGTTTCAAACTCTAAAACCAGTGTTCACATTTTCCATTAACAACCCCAACTGGTTTCACATTTTCTCTCATTTCCTAGAGGCAGCAGTCTCCGGGTCCTCTCAGGCCCACTCTCCCTTCCCGTGACTTTTTTCATCCGTTTATACAGTTGACGTTCGCTGAGGCCACATTCACCAGCAGAGCACAGAACGAGAGCTCAAGGGAAACCACGACGTTCAAAGAGCCCCGACACAGGGCGGGAAAAAGCGGGTGACCTGAGGGGACGACCGGTAAAGACCCTGGATTTCTCCACTTGGCCCCTTTCTTCCGGCTCAACTGCAGAACAACTGGAGCACCTACACGGCGCCTTCACCGGCCAGGGGCTCGGAGCTCAGTCATGGGTCACCGACAGCCCCCCGCCGCCTCACTCCCCGGCTCGGGACCCCACTCCAGACCGCGACAGGGACGAATTTCTACACAGCCCGCATCCTCCACGGTCCCTCTTACCGGAGCCGGCTCGGCCATGGCCCTTCGCGCTCCCGCCCGGCCCCTGCCCAGGGTCCGGCCCCAGCCCTAGAGACCCCGAGCGCCCGGACGACCCCGCGG